GTAGTTGACACAGACAGACCCAAGCATTCTCCACAGGTCTGAGCCATGCCAAGACGAGCAGCTCTGATGCAGAAACCATGTAATGGTAATGGTACCACATTAGTGTGGTACCAGCCCAGAAGATGGTGGCCTGTTCACTAAGTGGGACATCAGCCTCAGATATCTGTGCCACTTCTAGATTACAGCCAGCTTGAAATACAGGGAGAGATCCTCATTTCTGGCTGTCCCCATCCAGGTAGGAATGTGACATGCCAAAGACTGCGCAAGAACCTCTTCTTAGGATCTGAAATACTAAATTATCTCTCTTCGCTCTCCTGTCTGCTAACCTGAAGGATTTACAAAGACCATAAGCTGTCAGATGAATGGGATGTAGGTAACTCACCAGTTTAAGTGTTTTTTGCTGAGTAAGGACATTTGAAACTCTGTCCTAGACACCTCTCCAAAGGGTCTTGTCTGCTTCTTCTGCAGTACTGCAAGTGTACTGGCACCCTGAGAGCATCACAGTGTCTTCACTGTCAGTTATTCCGGTGAGGATCAAAGTCATTGAAATAGTTAAAATGATTACTCCCATGTGCTCATTTACTGACATGCACAGTAGCTATAAAATCAGACCCTGGAAACAAAGAATTTTTGCCCATGGAATTGATTTGCATGTTATAATAACGGCACTTCTGATGTATTTCAATAGAGACGGGGGCTGAATACATGTGCCTGTTATCAGGGCTTTGCTTTATGTTAAGACAGCCCTGCATTGTGCACTGTGTAATGAATTCCAGAAAACACAGCTTCTTATTGTTGTCAGTTATTGGGGGCTCATTCTCCTAATGAGATATGTAAATATCTTTCATTAACATTAACGGCGTTGTGTGCTTGGCCCCTGAGGAGAACAGTGCTTTCTGTCTAGCTACGGCTGTTACGACGAAAATGCTATTACAGTTATTGCAAAAATTTGCCTTTATGATGTTGGTTGTCTGGACAGCTTTTGGTATCATTTACAGAATTACCCCAGTACCCCTTTGACCTGTTTATTTCCTTGCTTTGGACTGCTACAATACACTCTTAAACATCTTTTTATACCCACAGCATCAAAATGCAGAGAAGGGGTCTGGGTGCTAAACTCCGCTAAATACAGGCAAAAGATATAAGCCTGGGCTTAACACATAAGCATATGCTTTACTTTAAGCCACCCAACTGAAATCCGTGGGACTTCTCAAACTGTTAAGCAGTTTACTGGTTGTTTTACCCGACTTTAAGCACAGGCTGTTGTTACTGCCTGACCGGGGACCAGAGAGGTGGGTTCTGGACAGTATTGAACTCTGAGTACAGTAAGCCACTGGGCAGGTTGATAAGGTAAAGAAATTCATTGAAAACTCTTACAGCAAACATCCACAGAGATTTCCCTTGAAAAATACATACTTTAAAAGCCCATACAGTCGCTGGCCCCATCTATGTGGTGCAGTACACATGCCTAGGGATACTGCCCATCACTGCAGCCAGCTGGCAGAGAACAGCAATGTCCTTACCGCCTTGCCCTGAACCTCCGGAGCAGGGGGACCACACGCAAGCTGCCTGCTGGCAGTGGTGACAGCCTGTGCCCACCCCTGCTAGCCCCACAAGTCGTCTGGAGAGTCCCCGTGGAGCAATATCCCTCTCTGCGATAGAGAACGAGCACTACAGACCATCAATTCCAACGCCTGCGCACGCTCCCCGTCCTGGTTCACTCACGGGGATGGGCATAGGTACCGTAATTTTCCCTTCACTGGCTGTGACCTCAGTTGCTGGGGGTTCACTCCGTCCTCAGCACAAAATAAGATGGTGCTTGCATGGGCAGCCCCAAGCTTTCCTCTCCAGAACAGAGACGACCTGAGCACGTGGAGGTCTCACGGAGATGGTCTAATTTTGGGGAAGGTTACTGAAGAGGCTGAGGATAGGTTCTGGGAGTATTTCATAGGACAAACTCTTTTGTCCTCATTTCTTATAAAGTTCTTCTATTCATGTAACAACCTGATTTTGACAGTTTGTGTCAGAAAAAAATAAGTGTTTCATGGAAAATTGGCTCTGTAGTTACAGATATACCCACTGTTCCTCAAATGTGTATACGGGCCTAAAGTTACACATGTGTTTATGTTTACTGTCTCCACAAATATAACGCATGCATGTTTATAATAGATAATATATGACACAAAGTAGACAACATACCAAACTCTCATCTGGCCTAATTGACCTTTAGGAAGACTGGGGATAAAATTTCCAAAGACACATAGCATATGAAATCTATGCCCCACTGAAAGTCACCAAGTCAGATTTTCCGAACTATTTTAGTGTCTAAAGATGCTGACGGACACCTACTGTAATTCCACAAAAGTATCTAGGCAAAGCGCATGCTGAATTAATCTCAAGACCACCAAGACTCAGAAAGCACTGAAGAAAACCATTAGTAAAGATTTCTCTAAATACCTACAGCAGAATCACTTAGATGCTTTTGAAAATTTTGCCTAGAATAGTTAAGTGGAATAGTTATAATGGAATTTAAAATCCCAAAATAATGGAATTTGAAAGATAGTTTGGATAGCAAAGAGATTCTCAAACCAAAGAGAGGAACAGTATGCAACAATAAATATTTTCCTATTTAAATATGGAGGTAAGAAAAAGCATGGACTATAAAATAAAGGCAAGAACAACATTTCATTGGGCATATCTGAGAGAAATAACTTGCAAGTAAAAATGGCTGTTAGCCCTTAAAGCTGGTATCCAACCTCAGCTGTGTTATGATACAATACAAGGGCACGTCACACTTTGCTTTTCTTTTGGAGTTCGGTTTTAAATTAATTTTCTGCAACTGAGCAAGATCAGGTGGTCAGAAGTTCCAATGCTGGATAGCAAGGCAACGTGATCCTCAGCACCGGTCTGCGTACAGTAACAGTGCCTAAACGTAATGGATTAACAGCATGTTCAGTGGCTGTTGGAAAACAAGCAATATTATTTACAATCGTAATGAGGCTCAGCAAATATCCAGCTAAATAGAAGAGGGAAATAATTCTCACTTCACTAGAACATTTAGCACAATGGGGTGCATAGATTGACTTCTAATTTTCTTCATATTTAGCAAATCAGGGAAATGCAAGCTTGGGGAAACAATGCCTAGTCTGAGCACGGATCTCATCATCGCATCCCTTCTGAAGCTAACTCTGAAGACTAGACCTGTTAGACATGGCAGCTGAATTAATTTTAAAACATAAGACTGGTCTCCTACCAGCCACGGGTCTGCTGCCCTGAAGGAAAGAATGAGAGAATGAAGACCTGTGGATGACTTTTTTCACAGATGTAGTTAGGGTACACCTGTGATCTTCGCAATACGCCACTCCAGGTCACCCCTCACCCATGTGAACTGCCAGGCACAGGCTCACGCAGCTGTTACACACACTGGTTATAACAGCCCATGCTAAATTCCTACAACAAAACTAGATCCTTTCTTACTCCTCCATGCATGCCAAACGCCCACTGCCCAGAAGCTCTAAATGACCCATTTGACCACTCTGCAATTTTCAGTGAATGGTGCCGTGGCAAGGACCGGAAAAGTTAAATTAATAAAATTTAACAAAGATCATCCTTGCCTCCATTACTGTATTATGAGAGAGAAAATGGCTGACATACCCCATGGCGATGTTCATAGTAAGCCAGCTTGGATTTGGTTAAGACAAAGAAGCGCACTTTAAAGTTGGAGGGTGAAGTCCTTCTCTTCTGCTGGGATTTTTTGATCAGCAGTTCCTCCAGGAGCACGCAGTTATTCATGGCTGAGCCAAGAACGGTTGTCTCCCAGGACATCGGATGACTGTCCTATGCGCCGAGTGCCCGTCCAAGAAAGAGACACAAGAAGGAAGACAGTTAATTTAAAAAAAAAAAAAAAGGTGTTCAAAAGGCAGCGTAGGTGCTTTGAGCTTTATCTTCCCATCTACAGCAAAGCTTCCTTTCTGTCAAACCATAACCACATCCTCTCTTAAGTCACAAAACGAACAGCACATGTTGAAATATACGCTAAGGTAAATGTTGTGGAAAAAATAACACTTGAGGGACATTCAGTAGATATGAGTCAATGATTAAGGATTAATTAAAAGGGCGTGGCATGATTAAGCATCTGTCTTCTACTCACCCATCTAGTAAATACAGTTATAAATGCATGCACTGAAGATGGCTGTATAGGTTGAATGTCTCTACTGTCCTCTTAAAAGTAGGTCATGCAGCCATATTTCTTTTTTGAAGGAATGGTGCTTTCCCATTTAGAGTATTTAACAGTTGACTGTGAGTCTCAGAGATTTCATACCACCTATTTTGAGGAAGTTTCCCACATAACATGAAAGTTCCTACTATGTAAGCAAAGAAAATTGTATCCAGGATATTCTTGTATAAGGAATGATAAATATTTGTAGTCATTACAGATTTAGACTGAAAACAAATGGTTACAATAACTGATAACTAATTAGTTATCATTGGTTACTATTTACTGATTACTGACTGCTTCAGCAGCAGTCTAATTAGTCTGTGGCTGGATGTTCCAGGAGGCACAGCCACAACATGTGCTCTGCGGATGCAATCAGGACCGGTGTAATCAGCAGTGAAGCGAGCACAAACATCAAACCAAGCCAACTGGTTTCCTCAGGACTTCGGGGCACCATTCGGGGCAGTCTGTGCCAGGCTAAATATAGAATTATAAACAAATTAATATGTACTTAATGCACTCAGTACAACAGCACTGTTAAATTTTAATTTTAAAATTTTTTCTCTGCTCTTCCATTTTTAATATTTTGTTTATTTTTTTAGTAGTGATGTATAATTGTATTGCTGATGCTATTGAGGACTGGAAGATAGAGTCTGGTGTACTATGACTACAAGATAAATACTTACCTTACTGCAAGATAAGTGTTTTCATTAATTAGGTATTTCTGAAAATTATTTCAATCTAAATCAATTACCAGTGCTGACTTTAGCCTTTAGTTGAACGTAGCATTAGGGTATAAGGAGATAGCTCCCTATTTCTGATATATTTTTAGAGTCATTTTCAAGCTCCAAAGAAGATACTTCATTATTATAAATTCAGTTCATGAGAAAAAAAAATCTGAACAAATATCAGAATTGCAGACTCTGTTTAAGTGAAGATTTTGATTTTATAGGGCAGTTCTTAGACCAACTTGGGAACCATATTTCTCAATAGAATGTATTGGTTATTCCTCCCCAAATAAAGAGGTGACATATCCTTTCCTTGCTGTTGTATGTTATATTGTTTAGTCAATATGTTCCAGGGATCATCAAACATTGCTTACCAATTTTGTTCAATGCTAACCTGCATTTGCCATAAAAATACAATTTAAAGATAGCACTTGACATACAGATCTGTAAAAGAGTTTGGTAAAGGCAATACAGTATCATGGAACATAAACAAGGAGAAGCAGAAGCTGTCGTGCAGTTGATCCCTATATATCTTTCTCTCTATATATATGTATCTATGTGGTGGTCTTGCCAAAGACAAGATGCAGCATATATTGAAACATTCGTTGTGCACAAGTCTAGCAAAGCTATGTTTCGTTTCTTGACAGAATGACTGAGTTCCAAGGAACTCTTGTGGTTGAACAAGAAAGATGACACAAATCTGTGATCTCCTGAAAAATCGTCACTGCTGCCAAGGGGGATTTCATATCTATTTGTAGACTGGGATCAATACTTGGGCCAAATTTCTCAATTCTTCTACAAAACAGTCTGCCTCACGCAATGCACATATATAAAAAATGCAGAGTCTGAGTTTTTAAAAATTGTGCTCCGTGTAAACAGCAGCTATTCAGGTACTTCCAGACCTTGTTTAGGTGCTTACACCGCTAAAATATAGGAACATTTTTGCGTGCACATAATTTTCCTTGAACTGGAGAATTTGCTGGTTTAAATTATGCTGAGAGATCCTTTCTTATAATTAATAAACCAAAACATAGACAGTAGAGTGCCCTGACAAAGTGTATGGACTTCACTCTGCTAGCAACAGTGAATCCCCCCAAACGGGCTGTTGATCTTAATAGTGTTTCTCTTGATTTGTGTCAGTACAGATGAATTTATAACCACATTGCATTGCATTTTTAGCTATGAACACTTATTTAGGACTTTGTTATTCTTTCTAGTCTCTTCTTTGCACTAACTACTAGTGTGTTGAGGACTCTCTGAAAAGTCTTTGGAGCTTGGGCCAAGGGGGGTTGCAGTCTGTTGGCAGAGATGTACCTCTTGTCTTCTCAGAAAATTGAATATAAATAGAAATGCAAGGGTGTGACATTGCAGCTTTACAGAAAAAGCAAAACGTACAGGACAGCAAAGAGATGAGACACCAACACGTAGACCTCTGAGGGGAGCAATACTGCTGGAGACGAGAGGATGTGGGGGGAGAAGAGATTCAGCAAGGTTGGTAAGTAGTGGGGGGAGAGCTAAGAAATTCTTTAAATATAGTGACTGGCAACTTGATTTCTTCATGAGATAAGAGATGAGCTAGCGGACAGACACGAAGAGGAGAGCGATTTGATCAAATGTTCAGATAGGGGGCTTGGCAACTGCACTTCATTTGGTGTAAACATGGTACGATGCGATGCGTTGTAGGAGGTCTGACGGGAAGATGCTGCAAGGGTCAAGGCAAGAGAGAAATGAGGAGCACATGAGATTTGGCTTCCACGTGGGAGAACTGGACAGGCTGAGCTGCTGTGGAAGAGAAGGTACAGATTTGTTACAACACATGTAGAAAGATAAGCACAGTTGTAAGAAAATAATCACAGATTTTGGCCTGGAGTGATAGAGAATCTGGTAGTTACATCAGAAGTAGCAGGATTTAGCAGGCGAGATCAGCCATTCTGAGTTTTCCATAGTGAATTCAAGCTGATGATGGGCCAGCTACGATATTAGACAGGGGTAAAACTAAGAATGATCATAAGGAAGAAAACAAGCCAATGCAGCCAGATTCGTGTGTCATTGATATAAACACAGGAGTTTATTTCAGCGAGAGCTGCTATTTCTGTTTTGCAATATCTTGATCAACTGATAACTCTTCACTGTTGAACTGGGGAGGAAGGTAAGGACTCAGATATTTTTGTATCCACCCTTGCCACAGATCTACCCCTTCATGTTCCTTTTTCACTTTAATCCCAAACCCCACGTGTAGCAAGCACACAAATATTTGAGTGTAGCAAGCCAAAAGTGGAATATGAATACTAAGTCTAATGAAGATATAGCCAGATTGACTTGTATATACAAAAACATATGGTCTAGGAATTGTATTAATGTTTCATTATACATTTATGAGAGAGTAACCTGCTTATGTGTATTTGAGTTTTATTTACTTTCAAAGACCATGATGTCTTGTCCAATTTTTAAATAAAAATTTTTGTTGCTTTCAAAGCATATGTCTATGAACTGTAGACATAAAACATATGTCATCATCCACCTGGGTGATAACATATTATAACCCTTTTAAACAAAGCCTCAATCATTTAAGGGCTTCAGGACTCTTCTACAGTAGTGTATCTATATATATACACAGAGAGAGAGAGAGGGGGAGAGAGAGAGAGACTTAGGTAGAAATATCTCTCTTGTCTAGGATCAAGTTGGCTCCAGAGCTGGAAGATGTGAGGACAAGTCTTAGAGCTCTACATACAAACTACACAGCCTTGATGAAAGGGCTCCTTGGGTGAGTGAGAATATCCCACTAATGCACGTATCTATCTCACTTCTGGAACCTGACCTTGATGGTGCAGTGATATACTGAACGGATGAGCACATTCCTTTTGTTCAAGGCTTTTGGCACCACTATATCTTGCATGGTACAGAAATTCTGTATCCTTAATAGAAAAGAATTAAATATAACAGTCCTAAATATCTTAAAACTACTGTAAGTCTATCCCTTAAGAAGAGGAGACAAAGCCTGATGAATTTTTTTAGGTATCCTACATCTTCTCTGCTTAGGTGCTTTTATAAAGCCTGCTGCCATGTATCCTTTGACACTTTTCCATCCATGTGCAGGAAAAAGCCTGAAATATTGTCAATTTTTCTGATTTAAGTTCGAGCTGCTGTGTGCACTAAATACTCCTCTGTGCTGGGCCAGTTGAGGTTACAGATGAGGTTGTTCTTATCAACCGTGGCCTCATTCTTTTTTCTTTTAATCACCTTTGTTCTTCCCTTGCTACCTCCTGCAAACTGCTCTACTTCTGCTCTGAAAAATGTTATTTAGGGATTGGATTTTTTCTTAGGGGATTTACCCAGATTATGCAGTTCACACTTTTATTACTGCAGATTGTGGAAATCTCCCCACCCGCACATCCTGCTCTGATACCAGTGCTTATGCCCTGAAGGCGGCAGAGAAATTTATAAAGTTAAATATAGATAGTTTTTGTTTTTGTAAAAAAGAAAAAACAGACCGGAAGGCTGCAACTCTATCTTCACTCTCATAAAACGACCTGTATACTTCTACCATGTTCGGTTTACTGCCCGGATGCCGGCTCTTTCTTTTCACCAGCTGTTCAATATGATGATTATCATTCAACTTCCAAGCTCCCAGAATTCAACCCATTTTGCTACTTAGCTCTTTTAGAGTGTGAGAAACTCTATTTAGGTTACTCAGCTGCCTTGCTTCTCTGGCAGTTCATTATCACCCCAATAAGCATGTCTCCAGTAGACCCAAAGAACAAGACAGAAAGCTGCAGAAAAAGGGAAGAATTAGCCTGGTCTTTATGAGCCAGATGCATCCAGCTTTCCTCTAGGTCTTACAACTGCACCTTTGAATCCGCTCACACTGCTCCCAGTGACCA